TATATATATGTATATTCAATATTCTTTGCCAATACCACAATTCAAAGGCAATGAATTCTTCTTCAGTTTTCACATGCATATGAGGTGATTGAAAATACCATAGCTTGGGTCACGTGTACCTTAGTCCTCAAAGGTACTTTTAGCACCTCGAAATAAGTTGTGGTTTCCTCTGATAACATCCTTCCCCCACTTCAGTGTCTTGTATTTCAGTGTTTTTATTTCAAAAATTCACGAGGAGGTCTAGAATTGAACCCACACCTGTGGTTTCCAGCCAAACAAAAGACAGGCATATGAGCGGAACTTTTACCTGAGGTAGATTGACTCCTTGGAGAGAACAATCATGGGAGAAAGAAGGGCTGTTTATGCACAGGGAGACAGCTCAAGGGGCAGGAGTGCATGGAGGGACGGACACAGGGAAGAGGTAACTATGGGGAGGAAGGGAGAGGGGAGCTGTTGCATCGTATAAATTGTTGTCAATGTCATGAGACAAAGTGTATGTGAACTGCTGTATGGAAAGTGAATTTGCTTGGTAAATCTTCACCCAAATCACAATTAAAAAAAAAAAAAAATCTTGGGGAAAAAAAATCCCTGAGGAGGGACAGGAAGTGAAAATAATTGAGCTAGAAACTTAGTTTTTTAAATAATGAAAACCCATTTAAGTTGACTTCCATCTCTCTTTTCCCTGCTAGGATGTCTTCATCACATTTTGCCAGTCGACACAGAAAGGATTTAAGTACTGACATGATTAGAACCAAAATTGCTCGAAGGAAATCACTGTGCCAGAAAGAAAATAGACATAAGGAATATGAACGAAATAGACACGTTGGTTTGAAAGATGGCAACATTCCAATCTTGGAAAGTAGAATTCTTGCTCCATTAGATGAGACATCTCAAGAGCTTGTTCCGGAAAAGACCAATCTCAAGCTAAGTAAGTAAAGATCTGTTATAGTTTTACGTCCTTTGAAGAGTAACCAAAAGTTGGTTTAATACTTGAGTGTAAAAAAGACTTGAGCAGAAGAATGTGGTTTTGAAAATATCATTCTAAATCACTTGGTATTTCTCTACAAATGATTACTATCTATTTAAGATAAATGCTGTGAAAGTGCCTAGGTAGGCTAAATCCATTCATCTATAGAGTATCACAACACTTTGTAAGGAGCCCTAGTGTAGTGGTAAAGCACTTGGCTGAGAACCAAAAGGCTGGTGGTTTGAACCCATTAGCCGCTCTGTGGAGAAAGATGTGGCAGTCTGCTTCTGTAAAGATTACAGCCTTGGAAACCCTATGGGACAGTTCTACTCTGTCCTATAGGGTCTCTATGAGTCAGAATTGATGGTTATAGCACTTGATTATCTATGTTGCCTTATAGGAACCCTAAAGTTCTTCTGGAGCTTGAATAAAATCAGTGTTGACCAGATTATCAATAAGAAACATAAAACTCAAAGAATTATGCATCAAAGAACCCAAGAAATCAGAATACTTTGCCATTGGAAACATCTTTAGAGAGAAGAGCACAGAATTCATCTTCCCACTTTGCCCAAAAAGGTTTGGGGCAATTAGGACAGAAGAACTAGAATAAAAAATATCCTTTAAAGAATAAATAAGTAATCTCAGGAAAAGTTAAAAAAAAAAAGTTTCTTCAGAGGCAAGGAATATTATAGGAAATCAGGAAGAAAACTGAGAAATGGCTTTTACATTTAACTAGAAGTCACTGGAATCCTATTTAGTTGTTTTTATGTAACAGGCAGTAGGAGCTAGGATAAATTGCAGCAAAATAAAGCAAGGATAAATAATAATAAAAAGGGAGAAAAAGATAAAGTCTTCTTAGATGTGTTACAGAAAGAAATGAGATGTCAAGTTGTTTAACTTCATTGCTTCAATTTTATTAATTTTCCAGCACCATTATAGTTTGTAGCACCTGGAAGCCACTTCAGGTATTCCAGTTTGATTTTTTAAAATAGGGGGTTGGACTAAAAGATTTCTTCCAAATTGAACATTTTTGTGACTCTAAAGGAAAATGGGGAGCTCTGGTGGCATAGTGCCTGAGGCATTTGACTGCTAACCAGAAGTCTGGTGGGTTTGAACCACCAGCCACTCCTCGGAAGGAAGACTGCGTGATCTACTTCCATTTAGATACCTCCTCAGAAACCGAACGAGGGGTCGCTATGAGTTGGGATCTACTTGACGGCAGTGAGTTTGGTTTATGGGAGGAGCTCTGGTGGCATAGTGCCTAAGGTCCTTCACTGCTAACCAGAAAGCTGGCGGTTCAAACCCACCAGCCACTCCTGATAAGGAAGGTTGAGCAATCTACTTTCTTAGTGATGTTGTTGTTGTTGTTGTTATGTGCCGTCGAGTCGGCCCCGACTCATAGCGACCCCTCCTTGGGTTTCCGAGGCAGTATCACTACGGAAGTAGGATTGCCCAACCTTCCTTCCGAGGAGTGGCCCAAGGAAGGGTTGCTATGAGTCAGATCTGACTTGGAGGGGTCGCTATGAGTCAGATCCAACTTGATGGCAGTGAGTTGAGTTGTTGAGTTGAAAGGAAAATAAGATAATTGAACAAAAGTGTGTAGGGTTCTTTTTTTGTTTTGTTTTGGTTTGAGATGAGGTGATCCCATGTTTGAAGGTCGAAGGAAATGAGCTGGTAGTTGAGGAGGAGAGTACAAAAATATCTCATAGGAATTGGGAGGAATGACATTGAGGGTATAGAATAATATGTGATGGCTTATAGAGGAAGAACCAAACATATATATATATTTTAGCATAGTGCCTAAGGCACTTGACTGCTAACCAGAATGCTGGAGGTTCAAACCCACCAGTCACTTCTCAGACGGAAGGCTGGGCAATCTACTTCTGTAGTAATACTTCCT